TATTTTGCGTTTATCAACTTGGTGATCTATATTCTCAGTGATGATCTGAATCGTGGGATTTTACTCATTTTTTGACAACCAAATATAAATTCATTACTGCAAATCGCGACAAATTGTAGGCAAAAGGAACAGAGGAATACATCATTTAAACTACAGCTCATCCATTTTAAGCAGCAGAGCAACATTTTCAAATTTTTTGGTAAATAAGAAAAAGATAATAATACCACCATTACAATAGAACTGACAAAAGCATCCAGCGAGTAACAATTACAAACAACGTTTACAACATACCATTTAGCATTACCAATATCGTCCATGTCTTTCGACTCAATAGCATTAAACTTACAAATTTCATTGGAACCAAAATTGAATTGTCACAGCTTACTTCTTTAACAACGTCTCAATTTGTTCAAGCACCTGCCAACGAGTATAATCAAGTTAAGAATAAATTCTACAAGTTTGGAGAAGAGAAGATTATAGAGAGACAAGATGGAGAGGGAGAGGGCGATGGAGATAGAACCTCGATTGCAATTACAGCGGGTGTGAGATTGCATACATCTGTGTCTCTCAGTTTGGCTGCAATATCTGCATAATGGAGACATATATTCATCGGTGCCATCACACAGACAGACCAAATTTATATAATAAAACAAGTGCTGAAGCACTAATGTAGGATGAAAACACAAACAAATAATCAAGATTTAAGATCAGGTAAGTTGATGTCTTACTTTCTAGGGAAACTCTGGCATTTGCATTGGTGTATGCTTCACCCCGCTCTTCGAAAAGGGTAGATAGCTGCTTCATGGTCTACACAAATCCCAGGTCAGATAAGAAAACAGCGTGTGAGTCTATGTTCACAATGGACAACTACATAAGAATTTCTTCTTTTTCACTTGATGTTTGGAGCATATAAACTTGTGTACTTCCCAAAGATGTCCAGTGATATTGATACGGGAGACAACCTACCTTGAGATAAGGATCTCCGGATTCATGATGCAAAAGGGGCCGAGAATTAGTTCCTACAGCTGTAATTCTCCGTGCTAATGCTTCCAAAGGTACATCTAGCCAAACACTGATACCCTTTTGCATGTATCTCCTGACAAGGCAAAAGTGGTTACCGGTTAGACAACTGTGAAGTAGAAGGAGAAGCAACCATACTTTAAGAACTCAATATCATTTAATATTGTTACCAATTGATGGGCCGAACAACTGCACCCCCACCTGTGGAAACAACTAACCGATGCATCATAGACAGCTTCCGTAATACCTCAGTCTAAAGCGAAAAAGTAGAACTGAAAAACTTTAGTTTCAGAAATCATGAGAGAGAGAGAAGTTTTGCATTCACTTATAATTAGTAGCACTAAATAACAAGATCTTTCAGATGTATAAGTATTGATCATACAAGAAGCTGAACTCCCGGAAAGTTTTTTCTCCATACCATTAACCCCCGTTTGAATCTCATTATATTAAATTCTATTACATTTCATTTTTCGCTCTCCTATTTTCAACTACACAATCTTTCATAAAATAATATTACACATAAACAGAAAACTTTTCCTTCTTTTTCAACACTCATTTAAAATTTAAAAAAAAACACTATTCCACCCATTTCCATTTCCAAAAAATGGGAGCCAAACGGAGGGCTAAATTCCCTTTGTTGGCTTAAGTGGTCAAGTGACCTCTTTGTGAGCCAAAACTACAGTTATCAACTTAATGCTGGAGTAGAAAACTGACTTTTATACAAAGCGCTTAGCTTATAAACAAGGAACAAATTGAAAGATAAGATTCACTAAATTTTAGGTAGTTCAAAACATTATCCTCAAATATTAATGTGGAAAAATCTGAGGTAATATGCTTGAACTATCAAATGCAAAATTTAAGTTCAAATATGGAGGCAGCTGATGCGGACATCATCCTCATCGAGCCATTTGTTAGAACATTTGTTGGAACATTTTATCTTTTATTTATTTTAGGCTTTATGTCTTATTGGGCTTGTATATGGGTTTGCCCAAGCCCAAGTTTATTATTTTGGTATTTATATTATTGTAATTTGGATTGACAAGCAGTTTTGAGATGAAAAATGAAAATTATTGTGTAATCACGTCTCTCTTCTCCTCCCCCAGTTTCCCCTCTCTTCTCCTCCTCCTCCTCTTCTTCTTCTTCTTGATTGATTCTACATCAACTTGGTATCAGAGCTAAAGCCTGGAATTCGTTATTAAAATATAGAAACTGTAATTGTGTTGTTCAATTCATCCATCTGCCATTCAATGCTCTCGCCACCAGCCAGAAGTTCCTTAGGTGATGCTTAATCAAAGTCCTAGAACAATTGGTACTTCCTAGCATCTTCACCATTTCACTTATACAAAACCACCACCAGCCTTCCATTAGCATAACATAATCAAGCCGAATATCTACAACAGCCAACATCAAGAATTCTATACCTATCAGGCTAGCAGCAGTAACCGTCTTCTGCCTATAACTGCCAACTATCAAAGCCGCAGCACAATAAAATCTCCCCACGTTTTCATCCACTTCCCAAACCGACCCAACCACCCGCTCTCCAATTCATATTACAGCAACTGCTGCTGTACCCAGCCCCAGATAAATCAACCGTCAGCAAGAACCACCTACCCACCACCGACAGTAGTCACTGTAACTATCGATACCTTCCCCGAAATCGTGAATGCCAATCGCTGCCATCAGCAGCGTTCACAATCACAATCCAAATACACTAAACCACCAAGCCCCACAAACCGTAACCCCCTCCCCCTCAAATTGCAAATCCCGACCCCATAACGCGCAGACCACCAACACCAACGGTAACAAGCCAAGCCGCCACTCCCGCTGTTACCACTCGCGACACCCCAGGCACCATCCGCCGAGCCACCACTCACCTACACTTATCGCAGTCAGCAAACCACCAATCGAACACTCCGATGCCGCCGGTTAACCCGTGAAGATGATCTTGCATATTGCTATTACGAGTCTCTGCATTTGGTTTGGTAATTGGACCTTAGTTAATTTGTGTCTATTAGAGATTGGGCCTCAGTTGTTTATGTATACAGTGGAATTTGAGTGGTAGTTTGGGTCTTAGCTTGTAACCTATTTGATATTTGAAAAAAAAAAAAAGAGTTATTTTTCTAAAATTATTTTCAGGTACCTCTTTGCCCCGTTGATTGGCTCAGTTATTCCAACGAAGAATTACTCCAACGAACAAAGGGAAGTTACTGTTTTTATTTATACTCAGTTTATATTGTTGTCTATCTTGAATTGTATCGATTAATTTTTGTGCTGCCGCATTTACATAAAATTCACGTGATTAAATTCCCTTGTCATACTTTTACCTTTACCCCCCCGTTTATTTTACGTGTTTATGTGGTTGACTAGTGTTGGACACTTGCTTTATTATTTTACATAGATCAGCATTATCAGCTTGACACACTTGAACTTTCATTTAAAAAAAAAAAAAAAAATTTGTTATGTGTTGAAGTTGTTATTTTCATTTCTTGAACTAGTTGTCTATTGATCTCGTCATTCTTTACATTCAGTTAGTGTTACATTGCATGCATTTGCATAGTGGTCGTTTTGTCATATCCAATTCCAATACTGTGATCATGGACCCTTCTCACTTTGATGCCCTTACTCGACAATTAGCTCAACTACAGGCACAATTAGCAACCGTCCAAACCGAAGTGACTGCTACTCGTGAGGAGAGTAGAGAACTAGCTGCTAGGGTGAACAATCTAGAACAAACCTCCCCCTCAACTGATGCTGATAACTCTAAAGCGTCTCATAACATACCCTACCGTCATCGACATGGTGGTCGACGACGTGTTCCTCATGGACGAAGGAATGGGGAACAGGAACGCAATCATGAACACGACCATGACCCTTATGGAACTCATTCACCTCCTCGCTATGAGGAGCGTTACTTTCGAAACATCAAATTAGACGCTCCTACTTTTGATGGCTGTTTAGATCCTAGAGTTTTTACACAGTGGGTTAGAGACATGGATTGCTTCTTTTCATGGTATGGGGTCCCAGAGGATCGAAGAGTTCAATTTGCAAGTTTGAAATTAACTGGTACTGCCCAACTCTTTTGAGAAAGCGTTGAGGACTTTCTTCAGAGGCGTCATGCACCTCCCGTTAGAGGTTGGGAGGAAATGAAGTGCCGCCTTCAAGAGAAGTATTTACCCCACTCTTATAGGAGCAACTTGTTGGACCAGTGGAATACCCTCACACAAGGAAACCGTCCAGTGACTGACTATGTTACTCAATTTGATGAGTTTCGAATGCGATGCCATATAGTCGAGGATGAAACTATGACTTTAAGTAGGTTCAGACAAGGCCTAAGAGATGATCTTCGGCGTCAGCTTGTCCTTCGAGGTGTCACCACTCTTGATCACGCTTATTCCTTAGTTCGAGATTACGAGTCGATTACTAAGACTCCGTATGGAAGGCGTAGTGATAATCGTCCATCCATCTCATCGGCACCACCTCCTCCCACAAAATCTCTTCTTGGACCCCTACCGTCTAACGCACTCCTTGCTTTAGACAATAAAGGTAAAGCTCCGGAAACTTCAAGAACCCCTTCTCGTTTGTAATGCTTCAATTGTAAGGGTTTCGGCCATATCTCCTCTAGATGTCCGAGCCGAGCCTTAGTTATTGATGAGCGAAAGGATGTCGTTGATGAACCTTTAGAAGATCAAATCTATGAGCCTAACTTTGAAGAGTTTGACGATTTGGGTGATAATGAGGATACCTTCTTGGGATGCCTTCATACCCTTCCTGTAGGTCTAGGTCCTACTTCTTTGGCCCCCGACACATCTCGGTTCAGTGTTGTACGCTGTACCCTTACCCAACCTAAGGATGTCGATAATTGGCGCCGTCATGCCATTTTTATACTTACATCAAGATCAACAATAAGGGTTGTAAGATTATTGTTGACAGTGGGAGCTGTATTAACGCGGTCTCTGTGACCACAGTATCCCATCTTGGATTGAAGTCAGTCCCGCACCCCCAACCATATAGTGTCTCTTGGGTTGACACTTCTTCTATAGCTGTGAAAGAGCGTTGTCTGGTGCCTATACAGTTCCTTGAGTATAAGGATCATATATGGTGTGACGTCATCCCTATGGATGTTGGACATGTCATTCTTGGTCGACCTTGGTTGTTCGATCTGGATGTAACTATCCATGGGCGATCAAACTCATGTTCTTTTGTATTTAATGGAAAGAAGATTCACCTTAATCCTTTACCACCAAAATCTATTGACTTACAGCAAGCAAAAAAAATTGTCAAGAGGAAAGGATTACATGTGATTAGCCCTACAGAATTTGAACGGACAATCGTAAATGACTCAATCGTATTTGCTGTGATTGTTATGAAAGTCCCGTTCGATTCCCCAATAGCGACCCCTACTGAAGCCCAATCACTCCTTCAGGAATTTAAGGATGTATTTCCTAACGACCTCCCTGATCTATTACCTCCCTTACGGGATATTCAACATGCTATAGATTTGGTTCCAAGTTCGTCTCTGCCAAACTTGCCTCACTATAGAATGAATCCTGCTGAACATGCCGAGCTCCAGAGACAAGTGGGTGAACTCCTTTACAAAGGCTTCATCCGTGAAAGCTTAAGCCCTTGTGCAGTTCCCGCTCTTCTGACACCTAAGAAAGATGGTTCTTGGAGGATGTGCGTTGATAGTCGTGCTATCAATAAAATCACTATCAAGTATCGTTTTCCCATCCCTCGACTTGATGATATGCTAGATATGATGGCCGGTGCCACAATCTTTTCCAAAATCGATTTGAAGAGTGGGTATCATCAGATTCGGATCCGCCCAGGAGACGAGTGGAAAACTGCATTTAAAACGAAAGATGGCTTACACGAGTGGTTGGTAATGCCTTTTGGACTAACCAATGCTCCAATACTTTTATGAGGGTGATGACACAGGCCCTTCGGCCTTTCATGGGCAAATTCATTGTCGTATACTTTGATGACATCCTCGTGTACAGTAAAACAAGGGAACAACATCGAGATCATCTCATGCAAGTTTGCTCTACACTGCGTGCAACAAGCTTGTATGCCAATGTGAAGAAATGTTCTTTCTTCACGGATACAATTGTGTTTCTCGGATTTGTTGTTTTCGCTACGGGAGTATCTGCTGATCCTGCAAAGATTCGGGCAATTGTTGAGTGGCATGATCCCAAGAATATACATGATGTTAGGAGTTTTCACGGTTTAGCTACATTTTATCGTCGTTTCATCAAGGGATTTAGTACGATCATGGCTCCTATCACAGAGTGTATGAAAAGAGGAGAATTTCATTGGACGCAGGAAGCGGCTAAGGCCTTTCAGTTAATCAAAAGGCAAATGACAGAGGCTCCTGTCATGCGACTCCCAGATTTTTCCAAAGTTTTTGAGGTCGAATGTGATGCGTCAGGGGTAGGGATAGGTGGAGTCTTAAGTCAAGAACGCCATCCTATTGCTTATTTTAGTGAGAAATTAAATGATGCCAAGCAACGGTACTCGACTTATGATAAGGAGTTGTACGCAGTTGTACAAGCCTTGCGCTATTGGCGTCATTACTTATTACCCCACGAATTTGTCCTCTTCTCTGACCATGAGGCCCTTCGTTTCCTAAATTCCCAAAGACGATTGAATTCTAGACATGGCCGCTGGATCGAATATTTGCAGGCCTATTCTTTTGTCGTAAAGCATAAAAATGGTGTTAAAAATCGAGCTGCTGACGCTTTAAACCGTCGCATCTCCTTGTTGTCCGTCATGAATGTTAAGGTTCTAGGGTTTGAAAGACTTAAGGAAGAGTACGAGTTATGTCCCGATTTCAAAGACATTTTTCTTGCTTTGCAAAATGGGGAGTTGGACACCACTGATGGTTTCCGTTTGAAGGAGGGCTATCTTTTTAAATCCAATAAGTTGTGCATCCCAAGGACTTCAGTGTGAGACTTTATAGTGTGGGAAAGTCATGCTGGTGGGTTGGCTGGACATTTTGGGCGTGATAAGACCATAGAGGAGATTGAACGTCAATTCTATTGGCCCAGTTTAAAGACAGACGTGGCCAAGATTGTTGGCACATGCAACACCTGTCAATGATCTAAGCAAAAAAAGCAGAACACAGGCCTCTACACTCCTCTCCCCGTCTCTAGTTGTCCTTAGCAAGACGTTAGTATGGATTTCGTGCTAGGATTGCCCCGTACCCCAAAGAAACACGACTCCATTTTCGTTGTCGTAGATCGCTTCTCGAAAATGGCACACTTATTCCCTGTAACAAGACTTCCGATGCATCTAAGGTTGCTAAGTTATACTTTCATGAGATCGTCAAGCTATATGGCCTCCCTAAGACCATTGTCTCGGATAGGGATGTTCGTTTCACTAGCCATTTTTGGTGAACCCTATGGAGTATGGTTGGCACTAAACTGAAATTCTCTACTGCATACCATCCACAAACAGACGGTCAAACTGAAGTTGTTAACCGCAGTCTTGGTAATCTATTAAGATGTCTAGTCCAGAAAAATCTTAGGAATCGGGATTTAATTCTCCCTACTGCCCAACTTGCATATAACAGTTCAGTGAATCGGTCTATAGGTATGAGTCCTTTTGAGGTTATTCATGGTTTTAAGCCTAGGAAGCCGTTAGACCTTATTCCCATGTCTCCACATGCTAATGTGTCTGTGTCAGCTGAGTCTTTTGCACAACATTTGCGTGATTTGCATATTGAGATCAATAAACAACTGGAAGCAAGTAATGCACTATATAAACTTCGAGCTGATTTGCACAAACGCCACGTTGAATTTAATGTTGGAGATTATGTAATGATTCGAATTAGACCAAAACAGCGTCCATTTGGACCTGCTTCCAAATTACAAGCTCGTAGTGCTGGTCCTTTTAAAATTTTAAAGTGTGTTGGTCCAAATGCTTATGTCATCGACTTACCCTCACATTTTGACTACCATCCTACCTTTAATGTTGAGGACTTAAGTTGCTTACAAAGGCCAATTTCACCCCGCTGATGATCCTTTCACACCTCCATCTCTGGATCCTCATCCTGAACATGTTATCCCTGCCCAATTCCACCTATTGCAGCACATAAAAATAAAATTGATACTATTCTAGATGCACAGACCATATTAACTAAGGATGGAGACATCCAACGCTTCCTTGTTCGTTGGGAGGACCGTCCTGATTCTGATTGTACTTGGCTCTCCAAAGAGACACTTCAACAGCTTGATCCTGATTTGTTGGAGTATTATAGGAGTCAGCAAGATCTTCCCTTACCCGAACCACCACCCTTGCGTGTATATCGACGTCGAAAGAAGTTTGCTCAACCGCTCAGTTTGTGGCTAGGAGATTGATGGCAGCCTTTTGTGATCTACCTCCTCGACGAGGTCGAGTTTTTCTCCCACCCCGAGAGAGTTGATGCGGACATCATCTTCATCGAGCCATTTGTTAGAACATTTGTTGGAACATTTTATCTTTTATTTATTTTAGGCTTTATGTCTCATTGGGCTTGAATATGGGTTTGCCCAAGCCCAAGTTTATTAATTTGGTATTTATATTATTGTAATTTGGATTGACAAGCAGTTTTGAGATGAAAAATGAAAATTATTGTGTAATCACGTCTCTCTTCTCCTCCCCCAGTTTCCCCTCTCTTCTCCTCCTCCTCCTCCTCTTCTTCTTCTTGATTGATTCTACATCAGCAGCTCTTTTTGAAAATAATACTGAGGCTGGGTGAGGCCTTCCACTTGGATAATCTCACTTGGTGACATCCCAATTAAGATAGAAACTTTAGCACAGGTCACTAAAATTAACAACTACATGCATCATTTTTGAGGAAGACTATGATGCACATTTGCACTTTATGGCATAAAATAAGGCACTTTTTGATTTTGATTAATTGAGGAAATAAAAGAGTATTACCAAGGTTGAGTTTCTTTGACCATAAATTTTGAAGAAGCTGAAAACAGGAAGTTTTTAAAATCATTTTGGGAAAGCAATCTGAACTAATTAAAATTTGGAGACAAAGTCAACTTTTCTTCTATTAAATAACTAACAAATTTCATCATATACAGGACAAATATATCTTAAAATCTATTAGCAAAATTATCCACGTTTTCATCTGTCTAGTTAGATAAGTCAGAAGTGTAATGGATAATAAAAAATTTTGAAGTTTCAAAATTACCATTATATTCTTTTCCTTTTGTTATATGGAAATGCTCCTCAACTTTGAATCATGGGAAACACAAAAAGCATTTAATCACTTGAGGTGCTTTGGTTAAGGATTACTATGGGAAACAGTGAAAGATTTTTATTTTCTCTGATAATACCATCCCCACTATCAATGGCAGCACGAGAGATCGAAAACATTCAAAAGATAAGACTAACATTGTCAAGTGTTCAAAAGCGTAAAAATTGATGCATGGTTAAAGTGAAAGAATCAATGAGCTTTTATCTTGTTAAACGGTGACACTATCAAGCATTCAAACTGTATAATTGGAGGAAATAAAGAGGACATGAAGTTTAAGTACCCTTGCTTTGGGGAGAAGTAATGAGAAGTGAGAAAGCATAAATAAATATATGGGAAAAGATATAAGAGACCAGCTGTTGGCACCACTGATGCAGAGAAAGCACAAGACTGCATTGAACACCAAATTAGGTCCAATATGAAGACAAGAGCTCTCTAAATATCTGCCTGGAATTACCTACTCACTATGAGAAGAAACAGAAAAAAATAAGTTTTATTTCTCAGTAACTAACCTCATTGTCTCTGAAGAAGTTCTCTCCATGTGACTTGAATATTTCAGCCACAGTAGTTCCACCAAGTGCTTGCTCAATTAGTGTGTCACTAAAGCATCCAAAAGGTAATGTAATCTATAGATATAACAAAGAAATAAAATATGGACATATTGTATTATATGCACACTGCTAATAAGCTAACAGAAAAAGGATCAACTTATACACCATCCTAATACAAAACCAGGGGTTGCTAACTACTAAAATAGAAGAGACGTTCTTGGAACTTACCAGTCATAAAAAGAATACCCAAGAGCTTCTGATAAAACCTTGCCCACTGTTGTTTTTCCAGATCCCATCATTCCTGCATCATGTAAAAAATTGGTTAAAATGCAATTGACTATCAATACTATATCTGATTTAAGAAAATAGGGATGAGACTGACCGACAAGATATATACAACGTCCGTTTAGATATTGTTCAATCTCTTTGGCTTTATTCTGAAAAAGACATCCACATTGAGTTAAATGCTGAATTCAACTTCTCGAATATTTGTGAAAATCCCGATACCATATCAGCTATTTAAAAGATATGCTAGGCAAAAAGGTCTTTGGTGCCAAAAAAGATTTTCATAAAAGTTGAACATTATAATTCAAATAAGACAGTCGATCATAGATACCTCTAAAATCTTAGTTTCATTAAATGATGCAGGAAAACTCCCAGACTCCAACATTGAAGCTACAAAACCAGTAAAAGGATGTCAGTCACTGATGTGGTACTTGCAAGTTACATGTTCACATTTCCTTTGTAGGTTAAGAAGAAACAAAACAAACAGTAATCTTAACAAGGAAATGTAGAACTGAGTGTTTCGGACAAAAAAGACAGCAGGAGGAGTCTTCACATAATTTGATAAATGATTGTTCTCAATTTCATGAAGATCATAAATATTACAGTCATAGTTCGTCATTAAGGAGATGGAATTATATTTTTTTAACAATGTTCATGTGCCAATAAATAATATTTTTGTCAGTTTATATCTTCTACACATGATAGTTGTGCAAAATATAGTGCCTGCACACCAATAGATGAAAATAACATTAACGAATACATGAGGATTACAACTTTCTATGAGTAGTACTCAATGTATGCAAAAAGATAGAATTAAATAGAGCTCACTCATTCCTACTTTCCCTAATTTTCACTCTAATCTGAAAAATACTAACCAGTAAGGTTAGCATCATATATAGATACGGAGAAAGGGAATACCAACAGGCCCTTTTTTATTGTACAACTTAATTCCCCTAAATAATGATGCAGCTACGATGTCCAAAATATTGAGGTGCCATATGTGCCACTCCTGCCTTGTCTAGCACTACAAAAGAAAAGGCATGTCTTACTTGTCAAGGACTCTGCACCTATTTTTAAGTTGGAGCTATTGTAGTGCATAACACATGTATCAATTATAGTTGAATTGATTAATGACTTATTTACTTAACTCATTGAACTAGTTTCAAAGTTCAAAAAGAGATTGCATAACTACCTGGTACATTTTCAGAAGAGCACGAAACCTTCAAAACTAATGGCCTTTGCCAGCTCCATCCTTTTCTAGTCGGTAAATGATATGAAATAGTTGTCTTATAGCTATGCTGTTCACCACAGTTCTGGGAAAACCGCAATGAACCATTTGGTTTTCTTACAGTCCTTTCCGAATTCATCCATGTTGACAGTTGCAAGCTTTGTGAAACTTTAGTCTCCATAATATTCCACTACCTTTTTTTTCTCTTATTTATCTCTATCGGAAAAAGAGGGACTCAGCTTTATTTCCAAGGAAACTTAAAGATTAAAAATAGTGCAGAACACCAATCACAGCCAACAAAGCTTGAGCCTCAGATTTCCTGCAGAGAACAAAATTCAATTAAAGCCTCACAATTTTCTCAATGAATGGAGTAAATAAATGGCCAAAATTACAAAGACTCAATCTTTTATCTCCTACCGTCTTGATTTTCCTTTTAACTAATGAACTGCATGCATCAAAAAATTGAAAAGAAGAATAAACAAATTCACCAAAGCCATCCAAAGAATCAAAGAAGAAGTGCAAAGTTCTCCAAATCAAATCAGGACAAAACAATTTCAGTTTTCCCTTCTTGGAAGGCACATTTCAATATTATGAATTTTACCTACCGGAAAGCTGTCAAACTGGTGGTTGGTGGAGTCTCCTCCGCCTCCTCCGCCTGTACTGTTAGTGTTAAAGATTATTGTTCTTATGCGGGGAATTGTGGTAGGTGGGATTGAACTTCTCAACTTCAAAATGTATTTGTATTTTAACGGAAAATTGCCACGTGTTTTCGTGATGCACTCACACCTGTTCAAAATTCAACAGGGTAGCGACGTAGTTAGAAATATTTTTACATATTATTTATGAATGCGACACATAGGACCTATTTCATTGTTTGATTAATACTCAATACGATTAATTAGAATAATTTACAAATTATTTTATATGTAACGCAGTGAGGTATGGACTATAACAACAAACAAATTCACAAGACATAAAAGGTGTTATCTTTCCTTTGGAACTAAACATTTCTATCTTATTGCGTTTCTATATTTTTTTGAAAAATATGTGATTAAAAAATATAAAAAAAATTGAATTTACGTGTAAAATTATTTTATTTGGAGAATGTGCGTTAAAAATGAGTTTAAAGAAAAATGAATTTTAAAAAAAAGGTGTGAACCCATTATCCAATAATTATTAAGACACATTTAGTAGATATTTTAAAATTAAAAATTCATTCTAATAATATATTCCTATAACAAATTAGGTGGGGAATAAGTCTCCTTTCAACGTGATCGAATTGGATTGTTTAGTATTATAAATAGCTTCTCAATGATTTTTATATATTTTGTCGTGAAAAACGTGGGAAGTTTCTATCTTTTAGTTATTACTTCTTTTTGAAGTATTTTTATCTTTTACTTATTATAGCACATCTCACAATATCCCAATAATATTTTTGACTATCAGAATAACTAAGCTCTTGTTCGATGCCCATTAGAAAGAGTTCATTTTTTTTTTTTTTTTCCCTTTGGGAAAATAAGTTTTGGAATAAGGATTTTTTAGAGGATGTATAGTTCAAAAGTAAGGAAAAATTTTGGATGCATGTACAAAATATTTTATAGTGAAAATCCGTGGTTGAAAATATAAACAAGGGCAAAGTTTAGATATTTTAATAACTAAGTTATTTTTTTGACTATTTAAATAACTAAGTTTAGATATATTTGGTACACAATATTTGACAACCCTGCATTGTAAAAAAAAAGGTTGAACCCCAACCTTAAGGGTCCCCCACCGTCTCGTCCCTGGAGCATCGTGAAAAAGGTTAATTTCAGGATGCGCCCCGACAGGCCGGGGAACAAGAACTGCCTGTATATTGGTGCTCACAAAGAGTCACAATCCATGTTTTAGGAATCGAATCCTCACGCTGAGGCTGCCAACAATATATGAGGATAGGTGAGATGGCGTTACGGGTTGGGATGGGACTTGGGAGCTTGATGGTTCATTGGTGGTGATGGTGGCAGTATGTCGAGGGATGAGTGGAAGAAGGTGAACTTATTTGTATTTGTATTTATTATATTTCTTCTCTCTTTTATTAATTTTTTTTCTGTTTTTATATTTTGGCTTTTTAGTAGGAAAAATTATTGACAAAATTGCTTTTTCAAATAAAAATTAATTAACGGAAATTACATTTCATGCGCAAAATTACTAATTGTGACAGTACAAAGGATTATGAGCAATTGCACCAAGATTTAGAGGTTTGAACCAAAAACACAAAACTGGCAAATATTTGGAACTATTTATGCCAATTTTTAATTTTATCAATAAGCACCTTTCGACTACTTCTCTCGGGACGCGCCATCCATCTAAGTAAATATGCACGTATGAGTCTCTTTAACCAACAGTGACTCATGAATTTGTGACATTGATAAGAAATATTGTCGCAACTTTGAATCCAAATCATGGGTTTTCTCTAATAAAAGTGACTTTATTGCAACACAATCAATATTTTTGATACATTTCTTTAATTTTTCCTCGTGTGTGTGTAAATCACAATTTGAGACTTATAAAAGAATTACCAAGAGCTCGAATATTGAAGAATAATATATATAAGCAAATCCTAATGTATAACAAATAAATCTTGGTTTGAGCTCTATCTTGAATAAATATAAGGAAACATATTTTACAATTATTTATTTAATTGCACCAGAAGGACTTATATCCTAGTATGACCGAACATATCTATCTTAAGGAGGGAAAATGTGAACTCGTTGAGCACAAATTTCTTAGGGTCGGTTTAGTATGATTTCTGGTTTTTATAAAATAGTTTTTCGAGTAAGGTATCTCCAAAAACATTTTTAGTCAGGCAAACACTTCAAAAAAATTATTTAAATATATTCAAAAATAACTTTTAACTTTTCAAAAGTCTTTTCAAATGTATCCTTAACGAACTAGCCGTTGTCCAGTGTTAACAGTTTGCAATGTTAAAATGAGAAGTAAGTACGTCAATTAAGCTCAAAGGCCCAAGACAGTGGTTGAGGAATGGATAAACAGTTTTGGGCTACCTACTTTAATTAACAGACTAGGCCTCAACCCTTGAGCCTTCTCTGGGGAGCCCAGTTTCAACTGATTCTGGGTTCTCTCTATTCAAGCTGCCTGCCAGCAATACTTATGTTTTCCAGCGTTATAACCCGTGCAGGTACGCCCAGTCGACGGAACAATGTATAAATAAGATGGTTACTAGATGCAATTTCCTTTTTAAGAAACTAGTTTTAAATATTCAAAATTAGGTTATAATTAAATTTTATTAATTAAATATATTAAGGTGAAAATTATACAATTTATGGTCACCCTATTTATAGATCACAATTTATTATCGGTCACAAATTTAAAATTTTATAAGTTATAACTTATTTCAAGAATAGGTTACGTATTATTTTTCGATCACAAATCACAAGATCACAAAATATCAAATTAATTGGTCATAAATTATTCTTTGATCATAATTATCATATTAATTGATCGTAACTTAACAAATTGTGAGTTACGCTCACAAATTTTGTTGTGATCTTATTATTTTTAGGTCACGTATTATATATTGATCACAGAATTTCTATTTTATTGAATCACATATTATTTATTGATCACAAATCATCTAATTTAATAGCCATAATCATTCAAATAATTGGTCACAAACATTCTTCATCCCCTCTCACCTCCCCACCCCTACCTCGCACTACTTCTACCAAAACACCACCACCACCATGGGCATCACCACGACCACTCTACCATTGGCTCCATTGACACAACCAGAACCACTCTACCACCACCGTCAGCAAGTATAATTTTCAACTACAAAACAACCACCATCATCAATCACTACCAACAAAAACCACCTGCACGAACAACACACGACCATCGCACTATCGTCACTACCTGCTTCTTGCACCAATGACTGTGCACAACGTTCATCGACCACCACCAACTACCACCCCAACTTCACTGAGCGAACTGTCCAAACCTTCGTAAAAACACAAAAAAGGGTATCGGCCACTACAAACCACGACTCCATCGAAAAACTCCAAAACCACCACTAAAGCTAGATTTTTCCCGAATCATGCAACTTGGAAATATTGCTGCAACAACACAAACGACGTTTGCATAGCCATCGTGCACAACATCGCTCGTTGTTGTTGTCAAATTGAGAGAGTGAGAGAAGGAGAGGGAGGGGGGCAAGATTTAGGGTTTGAGAGTGAAATCAAAGTGGGGTGGGGTATATAGATTAATTTAATTTTATAATATTCTTACTAATATTATAAAATTAAATTATCACCTGATTTTTGTATAAATGATTCTTAAACTTGATTTTTGAAGTTGGAACTTGAAAATCATGGGTGTGTATAATTTTCACAACAATCCATTTAAAAGTTTAAATTTTTGGATAAGATTTTTTGTTTACATCATTTAAATATTATTTCTAATATATTTCCAAATTAAAAGTTTAAATTTTTTTGATAAACTTTTATCTATACTAGTATGTCGCTCGTGCACTGGATTATTTTGAACGTGATATTAGTGTTTTAATGTTAATATGAGTTTAATGTTTAAAGAAGATGCGAATTAATTAATTATAAAAATAATCATTTGAGGTAAGTTATTTGTGATATTAATTTTGAAATGGAATGGTTCAATATAGTAATGACTCGAAATATGCGTTTAAGAGATGATAATGTTGTTAAGATAATTATGATGTGGATGAAGTATGCTATCTGAGTTTATTTTTAAATGTTCAAAGTTTCATACAATTATAAGTATGATTCAATCATAGTTCATTGTGTTTCCATTGATAAGGATAAAAAGGAAACTAAAATATTTACAACAACCTATTAATGTCAAAAGTAGTAATTTATTGCTATTTGATAGTCTTTTAACTGTAGTCTTTTACCCGAAGGCATACGATTAGGTTCGTGTACATAGACATAGATAGATCATGTTACTTTTTTCAAAACTGTAAAATAAAATATTGCATGACTGCCTATTGTCACGAAAGTAATATAGATGTTGTTCAGTCATGTTTTTCAGGACAGTGGTTCAGTCATTAGTTTTGTAGCCTGTGTGAGTCTTTTTTTTTTGGATTTTGACTCTGCTTTAGTAGGTACATTTGATGGTTGAAAAAGAAACCTTTTTGCATGTGGTGGAGCAATTTCTTCAGTGACTATGGAAATTTCATTGGCTCGGCCATACACCTTGTCTTTGCCTTTTGCATCTTTGTTATCTGAACTTTCTTTCATTTCAGTTGGGTTGTTTGTATCATCTGTGATAATTGAGGAATTTATTTTAGTCGGCGTGGAGGAGATGAATACCAATATGATTTCAAAGTGGTACTCAGGTGGGTCGTGGTGCTTTTCTGTCGCTTTTAGGTAAAAGAGCAGTTCTGTATCACTTTCTAATTTCATGATGTCATTGAGTTCTGTATTTCATTCATGTGATTCCTGTGGTAGACGAAATATATTTTCAATATAGTGGCATATTTGTTGTAAAGAAAGAAAGCATTATTGAAGGATGTTGGATCTAATGTTTTACATTTTCAACATAGTGGCATTACTTTTCAATAACATCTCTGCTGCATCCTCTATGATGGTTGCATCTAATGAACCAGATTTGTCTTCAAGTTGTACGAAAGCATTTACCCTATAAATGTTTTATTTTTCAGCTATGCATT